GCTTCGGTTGTTGTTGCTGTCGACTGTTGTTGTTGTTGTAGCGTCGCTGGGTGTGAAACGCGAACTGGTACTGAAGTTTTCTTCTTATGTCGTTCTTCTTGCAGGTCCATGTCCTGCTGCTCGGCATGGATTTCGGCGCAGAGTGCTGCTTCGGAGATTCTCCCGTGTGCTCGTAGTATGCCGCGAGTGGAGCGCCAGTGAGGGCCAAGACCGCCGATGACAACTGTGACAAAGGCGTCTTCTGAGATCGATCCCCCACATCGAAGAAGCCTGTCGCGCAGTTCGCGGCAGCGACTGATATATGCCATGCCCTTCTCGCCTGGTTTCATTTCTATTGTTGTCAGCTGCGCCATTAACCGACTTTGGTTTACACTGTCTGTTGCTTGATACAAGTTCTTCAAATGGTTGTACGCGAGCTCCGCGGAGTTACCGTAACCTCGGTAAGTCCTTATGTTCTTCTGTTGGGTCGGGGTGATGTTCCTCAGTAGTATTGTGTACGCCATCATCGATTGATAGGTGTACTGCTGCTTCTCATACTGTGTGCCGTTTGTTGGATATGGCAGGGACCCGTCGAAGAAGCCAAGGATCTGCGCTCCTTCCATCATCAGCTCGAATTCGAACGACCAGGTAAAGAAGTCCTTTCCGTCAAAAGGCTTTGTCGTTTGTAGTTTTAGAACATGCGCGAATTGCGACTGAACTTGTAATGCGTCCAGCGCTCTCTCTTGTCCCGGTGCAGGTTGTGGTTGCGGCATAAAGCTGACAGAGCCGCGCTGGGGCTCGTACGGAGCGAAGGTAGGTTGTTGATGTTGATTCCCGTGTGCGTAGGATGAGCCATCGAGACTCATGGGTGTCACGTTGTTGTTGTTGTTGCTGTTGTTTGATTGCGCAGGTACTCCTTGCTGGTGCTGCTCGTAGAAGGACATGAAGGAGAAGAATTTCTCCATCATGCTTGGATCGAAGCCCGCGCCTTGGTTTGCGGGTGTTTCCGTAGACCCAGCTGCTGGTCTCGTTGTTGTCCCTTCCTCTGTCTGTAGACCAGAGGCAGGTGGTGGAGTAGGGGTAGTACCGGGAGAGCCGTTGGAGGAGCTCCTCTCCTTTCTAGCAGACATGTCTTCTTGATGTATTGAGTGTTGAAAAAATAGTAACTTTTAGCTCTAACTGCTCTCATACCATGTTGGGCTGAAAAGCCTTAGGATCTTTGTAGAGTTAAAGTCTGAGTACGTGATGTAATAACGGAAGCGTTGAATAAAGTCCTTGAACCACCTTGCGCTAGTATGTGAGGGCAAAGTAAGTTGATTAAAGCAAAGAGATACAGGAATAAATATATGAGTACAAAGAATATGAAGAGACATTATGACTACTTTACTGTTGCGGTTCGATACAGTGCGACTCGGGCAACTGCTCAATGTCGAGTCAGTTGTGTGTCCTTGCTGTCACGCTGCGTCAGGTCAAAGGTCGCTGATCTTTGACTTTCTCGTAACCTCCAGCGGTTACGTTAACTTCCGAGGGTTGACTCGCGATGCTTCGATTTGAGCTGCTTTGCTTGTGTCTTGAGTTCTGACACGACAGAGGCGCTTAAACTATTTGTTCCCAACAGAATCGACCTAGCTAGCCATGTACTCTAAGGGGTATATTCCTTTATTCAAATTCATTCCCAACCGTGCGGCGTGTACAGTTACGAAACTGATCCCGCCGTATTCCTCTCGCCTGCAACTGCTCGATGCCGTCTGCTCCGACGGTCCCGATCCACCCTAACTGTCTGATGCTTCGAGTCAACTCTCACCCTTCGCATTCATTCTCGATACCGTAATCTCCCGGATAGTAGACCCTAGGGTCTTGTGTAAAATTCATAAAAAAATAGGGGGGGGTCTTGTCAACGGCACAAGATTGTTTAGTACCCGGGTCTTATTAAATTGATATGATTTTTAAAGGTGTAATCGAGTGCCTCATTGATGAGGATGCTTGACATTTTTTCCCCTGTTGTTTGGGCCGCACATGTGTGCGACTTCTGCGATGTAGCCATATCACACAGGGGAATCAGCTTGTGGCCTTCTCATTGGCCGAAATCGCACGTTACCACATTCCAGCATTGAGATTCGCTTTGTGGCTCGTCAGCGTGCCATCCCACCTCGACACCCTGACACATGCACGGCTCGAGCGCAGGGGCTGCACGATGGCCCGTGCAGCAACCCCTACTGTTCAACGGGAGGCACGTCAATCCTTTCACCCATCACAATCCTTCTCCTCCGCCTGTTTCTTCATCCACGCACGAAACTGATTTCTGCTCGGCAGAGTGGTGCGCTTAGGGCCCGTAGCTCTAGGATGGTCGTCTTAAGATGGCTGGAGGAAGTACTTCGAGCAGTAGCTAGAGGTGTAAGCTATCATTCACGATGGTGACGTCTCCAGATTCAGGGATGTCGCACGCAAGGCGCCCTCGTCCCACTAACGTTAATCGAGCATCGCAAGTACGAGTTTCACCCCGGCCCGTTTTGCCAACAACTTCACCTTCCTCCAGCGATCCTAGCGACAGTTCCCATGGCATTCGCCGACCGCCGCTTCCTAGAGTCGTGATCCCTACTTTTCCGGAGTCTAGTCGCCCGCAAGGCATGAAACGAAGGATTCTAGATGCTGCGCCTCCTTCCCCTCGTCATAGGATGACGAAACGCTCTCGTAACGCGTTCACCGCCAAGGAGAAATTGCACTGGCTGGCCATGTTGGAGTCACAGCCTGACCTCAGCATCCGTGGCTTGGCGAAGCTCGCCAAGGTGCAGCCCAAGCAAATCCGCGAGTGGAGGCGACTCAAGGAGCGTCTCGAGGTCGCCGCTGGTTGTCGCCGACGTCTTAACGGTGGAGGGCGTAGGGCGAAGTGGCCCCTGATGGAGAAAGCGGTTTACCGCCAATTCTTGGCGCACCGTGCCAAAGGATTGGCGGTGTCGGTGAGCCTTCTCCGCAAATGGGCAACTCAGTACATGAAGCACCGTCAGCCTACCGCCGATTTTCGCGCATCGGCACGTTGTACCTTTCGCTACCACGTGCGGTGGTCATTAGCGCAACGCGTGAAGGCAAAGATGGGGCAAAAACTAGCCGCCGGTGAGCAAGTTGCATGTCACCCCCCCTTGCCGTAACGGTTTACGTAAAATGCTATCTAACACATGTGTTGTTGTGTGTTTAACAGATTGCAAGGGAAAGGTGGAGTCCTTCTGGGAATTCGTCCGCCAGATGCGCATGGTTCATCGCTTTCCCCTCAACCTCATCGTGAACGCTGACCAGGCCCCGCTCTGGTTGGAGATGCCGGCAGAGAGCACCCTCGAAATGAAAGGCGCCCGCACGGTGCATGTCAGGACGGCGGGGTACGAGAAGGAGCGTGTCACTGTCATGTTGGCAGTGACGGCTGACGGCCTGAAGCTTCCCCCGTATGTCATCTTCAAGCGGAAGACGGTGCCACGAATCGTGGTGCCACCAGGTGAGCCCGATGTGTTTCTGTCGTTGATTCCTTCTGTTCCTCTTGTTTCTCCATTACTGATTTCCAGTTGTGGCGTGTGCAGGTATCGTCATCCGCGCCCAAGAGAAGGGTTGGATGGACGAGCGCCTTGTCCAGGATTGGACAACACAGGTGCTCGTCCCCTTCTTGAAGCCGTTGCGGGACGAGGGCGGGCGGCGCAAGCAAGCGCTCCTTGTCTTCGACTCGTACAAGGGGCACCTGACGGAATCTGTGGGGCAAACTCTGAAGATGTTTAAGGTGACGCGTGCCGTCATCCCTGGCGGTTGCACCCCCCTGGTGCAACCGCTAGACGTCTCCATCAACCGCAGTTTCAAGTGCGGTGTTCGCCACCGCTACAGCACGTGGTTTGAGGAGGTCGGGATCGGCCAAACGACACGTGTAGGTGAGTCGTGGTCGATTTGTGAGCTTTAAGATGACTAGTCAGCATTAACTCCACTGCCTTTACATCTCTGCTGTGCATTCTTCTTGTGAACTCCAGGGAACTTGAAGAAGCCCCCCCCTGAAGTGATCCTGAAGTGGATCGTCGAGTCATGGGCTGATGTGCCAGAGGAGCTGGTGAAGAAAGCTTTCCTCACCTGCGGCATCTCCAGTGCCGAAGACGGGAGCGAGGATCATCTGATCCTGGCTCACCTGCGGGACAAGGCGGAAGTGGAGGTGCTGGAGGATGTGCTGGACGAGGGGGAGGACGGGGTGAACCCCAACCCGTTCTACGAAGACCCCTCGCACGCCCCTGAGCCCGCCGCTACCAAGGACGATGAGGCAGAGGACGAGGAGGAAGGGCTTGCAGGGGAGGAGGATGTGGTGGATGCTGCTGCCGAGGAAGGGGATGTGATGGCTCCGGAGGAGGAGGGGGATGAGGCAGATGCAGAGATGGGAGGTGCGGACGAGTGGAGTGAGGATGGAGACGACTGGTGGGCAGCAGGCCGCTATGAGGGAGAGGAAGTGGAGGAATGGGTTGCAGGCGAGGATGAGTGACTATTTTTATGTTGTTCTCACCCCTTGTTGCCCCCTAAATCTCTGAAATGCAAACCGTGAATAGGTTGCATTGGTGTCAAGCTTTTCTTGCTAGTGAAGCACTTGAAAAGACATCTTATTTCCATTATAAACTAGTGACAACCATGAAGGGGGTCTAGTAATGTTTACCCCTCTAGGGGGGGGTATAGTGAAAACCTGCCAAAATAAAAGACCCACCCCCGTAATACAGACCCGGGGGTCTTGTATTCCGGGGGGTCTATTATCCGGGAGCTTACGGTACGACATGCTTCCTTAGCTGCGGTTCAGGAGTGCGCAGTTTCATTCAATTCTTTTCGTTACAGAACTGTCCACCAAGTGTGCGGAAGACGCGCGTGTGTAACCAACAGCGAACACCAGGTGTACGAAAGCGTAATCCGGGTGTGCAGTACTCTGACTGTATGCAGGTACGGTACTCGTCATACTGTATTCGGATTTCCAACACACCTAACAATGCATGTGACGGACTTTAAAAGACCCATAAGCATCATCGCATCATGGGTGTAGCCCCAACGTCATCATTACCCCAGAGCTTGATTGTGCGATCGTAAGACGCTGTGACAATACATTGCCCATCTGAAAAGAATTTATGATACCAAAAAAATTGGGAAACGGTAGAGATAAGACATTCGTAAAGAAAAGGCAACCAAATCACAGAAGAGGACTGAAACACCATGCCATGGCCGCATTTTCTCACAAGGGATCCCATAATCCCCATAAACACTGAACCTCCCCCCTCTCCCCCGTTCCTTCCCCACGTCCCAACTCCTGGCTGCCAATGATGCATTCACCAGCTGCCACATCAGCACCCATGACAATCCACTCACCTGCTGCCACGTCAGCCCCCATGACCTTGCCCTCGTGCCCTGCCAGCACCTTCACGGGCTTGAAGTCCCGCCCTGACCACACCTGTGCATGGGGAAAGAGGGGAGGAGGGAGGGAAAGGAGGGAGGGAGATGGGTGAAAGAGGAGGAGAGAGGGGTTTGAGGGGCCTCAAGCATCAACAGTCATCTCCCCACCTCGTGCCCTGCCAGCACCTTCACCGGCTTGAAGTCCTGCCCCGACCACACCTGTGGATGTAGAATGGGGGAGGAGGGCGTGAGGCGGAGGAAGTGGGAGGAACGATGGGTTTGAATTGAATGGCCTCAAGTTTCAAAAAACGTCGCCCTTCTTGTGCCCTGCCAGCACCTTCACCGGATTGAAGTCCAGCCGCGACCATACCGACAGGGGGGGGAGAGAAGGGAGGGAAAGGAGGGAGATGGAGATGGGGGAAGGGGGAGAAATGGAAGGCTTGAGTGCGCTCAAGAATCATCTCCCCCCTCGTGCCCTGCCAGCACCTTCACGGGCTTTAAGTCCAGCCGCGACCACACCTGTGAGATGATGAGAAAGGAGGGGGGGGGGGGCGGGAGGGGGGGAGGGAGGAGGAGGAGGGAGGGAGAGAGAGGGCAGGGGAGTGAGGGGTTTGAGTGTGCTCAGGAATCAACCATGATCTCCCCTCTCGAGCCCTGTCAGCAGTTTTACCAGCTCGAAGTGCTGCCCAGACCACAACTGTGAGTTGATAAGAAAAGGGGGAACAAGGGGGGGGGAGGGAGGGGAGATGGGTGGGAAGGGAGGAGATAAGGTAGGTGGGGGAAGCAAGGGAGGAGTGTTGTAAGGGTGGGAAACTGGAACTTCGCTACAATCACCTTCACAACAATCCCCCCACCCCACCTACCCTCACCTTGGCCGTGGTAATCAAAGCTGGCAGTGAGCAGCAACAGCCCCTCCCTGGGCTCATACCGCACCAACGACCCCCACTCCCCATTACCGCACTGCACCACTCTCACCTTGGCAGTGTTATCATAGCCAGCGGTGAGCAGCAGCAGCCCATCCCTCGGTTCATATCGCACCACCGACACCAGCCGCGTGTGAGCCGGGATCACATACAGGCTGCCCCCACTCCCCTCCGCCCCCCCTGCTCCCCCTCCCCCTCCTGCACCCTTCCTGCAGCGCCGCAGGTCCCACACACGGCACGTGTGGTCCTCCCCTCCCGTCGCTAAATGGTATCCGTTGGGGGAGAAATCACATGCCAGGAGCTGAAAAAGAGGAGAAGGAAGGACAGGGGGAACAGGGAATGAGGGATATAATTAAACAGGTGCGCCTTCCTGCATCGCCGAAGTTCCCACATGGGGCGTGTGTGGTCGTCGCCTCCTGTAGCTAGATGCTACCCGTTGGGGGATAAATCGCATACCAGGAGCTGATGGGGGGACAAGGAATGAGGGGTAGAAGCATAGAACCGGGATTTCCTGTATCACAGCTGGTGCCACATGTGCCATGTGTGCTCTTCCCTGTTCTCAGGCCCCACTCCCAGCACAGCGCGTCCAGTGAATAAGGTCAGAGCAGTACGCTCAAGGTCAGAGCAGCACGCTCAAGGTCAGAGCAGCAAAGCCTAACCACGCTTCAATCCAACACCCAACCTACTGGTTTCATGTGCCCTTCCAGTGCGAGAATGCTCCTCCCTGTCCTCAGGTCCCACACCCAGCACAGCGCATCCAGCCCACACGTGGCCACACAACACCTTCAAACCCCATCCTCCCAAATCAAACCCACCGGCTTAACGTGTCCTTCCAGTGCGAGAATGCTCCTCCCTGTCCTCAAGTCCCACACCCGGCACAGCGCATCCAGCCCACACGTGGCCACGAGCGCGCCGTCCTTCTGGAAAGAGACGCCGTACACTGCCCGGCTGTGCCCCTCCTGCAGCAGCAGCTCCACTCCCCCCCGCTCCACATCCCACAACCGCCACGTCTTGTCGAAACTCGTACTTGCCAGGAACCTTCCCGACGGGTGAAAAGCAACTCGCGCGATTCGGTCTAAGTGGCCGGATAGGCGGAGGAGAGGGGTGGAGAGGGATGGGGAGGAGGAGGAGGAAGGAGGTGCTGGACGGGAGGAAAATTCGGGGTTGTCAGTTTGGCCGTTGGCGTCGGGTGGAGTTGATGCCGCCCAAGGGAGAGGCCAGAGCAGCGCGCACCTGACAGGGAGGAGTGTGGGGGGGAGGATAGGAGAGGTTGGGAGGGACGGCGAGGCGGATGCGGGTGAGGATAAGACTTCTGTGGCGCCTCAGAACCGTAGTTGGAATCACTTTTGAGAGTTGGAATCACTTTTGAGAGTTGGAATCACTTTTGAGAGTTGGAATCACTCTTGAGAGTTGGAATCACTCTTGAGAGTTGGAATCACTCTTGAGAGTTGGAATCACTCTTGAGAGTTGGAATCACTCTTGAGAGTTGGAATCACTCTTGAGAGTTGGAATCACTTTTGAGAGTTGGAATCACTCTTGAGAGTTGGAATCACTTTTGAGAGTTGGAATCACTCTTGAGAGTTGGAATCACTCTTGAGAGTTGGAATCACTCTTGAGAGTTGGAATCACTCTTGAGAGTTGGAATCACTCTTGAGAGTTGGAATCACTTTTGAGAGTTGGAATCACTTTTGAGAGTTGGAATCACTTTTGAGAATTCTCAAAAGTGGCTTCTGTAGTTGTTGTTGTTGTTGTTGTCGCTTTTGAGGATTCTCAACAGGGGCAGGAGAGAATAAGCTTTTCGGTGGCGCCTCAAAACTGTAGCCGCCGGTTTAAGTGTGGCACTGTGGCTCCTTTACCTGCTGGCAGGTGCGACTGTTTTCGCTTTTGAGTCGACTCAAATGCAAACCCCAGACCTACCTACCCCACCATCCCCTCACCTGTCAGCACCAGCAGTGGCAAGGCTACGGCCAGGGGCGGGGATTGAGGAGAGCGCGTGGGGGCGCCACGCCAGGCCCCCCTAACCCTATCCGACAGTCCACCCACCCACCTTCCCCAATCGTATCCCAGTCATAGCCCTAGCCTTACTCACACTGTGGCATTCCTGTACCTAACTCTTATGTCTAAATCCTGTACCTGTCAGCACCCGCTGTGGCGAGATTGGGGCCGGAAGCAGGGAGCGAGGAGAGCGCGTGGGGGTGCCAGGCCACACACGTGGCGCGCTCTGAGTGGCCGCGCAGGGCGCCTGCCGCCCGCACAGCTGGCAGCGACCAGAGGCGGCAGGCACCACTCCAGCCTGACGTGGCAACAAGAGAGGCGTCGGGGGAGAGGGCGCAAGCAGAGATGGGGCGCTCGTCGCCTATCTCTGATACCTGGGGGGGGGGGGGAGGAGAAGAAGGGGAAGGGGGGATGAGCGGGGGGGGGGGGAGGGGGGGGTTGCTGCAACACAAGGGAACGCCCAAAGAGGCGAGCAGAGAGGCGTCGGGGGAGAGGGCGCAGGCGGAGATGGTGCGCTCGTCGCCTATCTCTGAGACCGGGGGGTGGGGAGGGAGGGGGGGGACAGGGGACGGAGAAGGGGGGCGCAATGGCATGGGGGGTGAAATCCTGACGTGGCAAGCAGAGAGGCGTCTGGGGAGAGGGCGCAAGCAGAGATGTGGCGCTCATGGCCTATGTCTGATACCTGAGGATGCGGCGCTCATGGCCTATGTCTGATACCTGGGGATGCGTGGGGGGGGGGGGGGGGGAGGGGAAAGGGAGGGGGTGTTGGGGGGAATGAGAAGGAGTATGAGTGTTCTGAGCAGTGATGCGCTGGGGGAGAGGTTGCAGGCGGAGATGGGACGCTCATCGCCTATCTCTGATACCACTCAGATGCGTGGGGGAGATGGGAAGTGGGGACATTGGCACCACTCAGTACCGCTCTCAACCCGCCTGCATGCTCATCCCATGCACCATTCAGAAAGGCTCTCAACTCACATGCATGCTCATCCCTTGTACCACTCTGTACCTCTATCAGCCCACCTGCATGCCCATCCTTTGCACCACTCAGCATCCCTCTCAACCCACCTGCATGCGCATTCCTTGCACCACCCAGTACCACTCCCAACCCACCTGCATGCGCAGTCCTTGCACCGCGCCACTTGAATCGCCTCCGCCTCCTCGTCCTCATCGGGATCCTTAACCTGCAAGCTCATTCCCTGCACCGCTCAGTACCGCTCTCAACCAACCTGCATACTCATTCCCTGCACCACTCAGTACCGCTCTCAACCAACCTGCATACTCATTCCCTGCACGGCTCAGCACCGCTCTCAACCCACCTGCATGCTCATCCCCTGCACCACGCCAATCAACTCCTTCGCCTCCGCCTCCTCGTCCTCATCGGGATCCTCGCGCCGCCGCTTCGCGCGCCGAATCCTTTCACCTGCCCGGGGCAGCGAAAACACCGCAATCTCCTGCCGCGCCAACAGCAGCTCCTTGCTCCCCTCGGTATAAAACAACTCCGCTTGAGGCACCTCCTCCGTTTCTAGAACCTCCGCGCCGCCCTCCCCGCTCTCCCGCATTTGCCGCTCGATCGCTTCGTAAAGCTCGTCGAGCCGCCCCTCGGCGTCTAAGTTAGCCATGAAAGACCTAAGCCGGTCGCGTCGCTCCATTTCGCGCTCGCCGAAGAGCGTGATCGGCTCGCCGATCGCGCGGAGTCGCAGCCGCACCGCCGTGTCGCTAGTAGGCACCGCGAGCGCGCGCGCGCGTCGCTTCATCTCGAGCTCTTTGAGCATCTGCTCCTGACGCTCCTTAGCGCGCTTCCCGGTCTCTGATAGCTCGTACTCGACTCCCTCACTCTTACCTGATCCCCCTCCTTCTCCTCCCTCCTCATCATCCTCCTCATCCTCTTCATCCTCGTCCTCCTCCTCCCCTTCGCCAGAATTTTCCTCCTTCTCCTCCTCCTTCACCCCTTCCTTGTCGCCGTCATCGCCCGAATCGTCGCCCCCCACTACGCCTGTCGCGGCGAACGCAGCAGCCTGCTTCTTCAGCTTCTCGAGCCGCTGCTTCTCGGCAATCTCGAGGCTTCCAAAAAAAATCGGCTTTTTGTGAACGCTCGCGATCTTAACATCCTCGTCGTCCATGATTGCGCGCGTCAGTAACCTAGAAAGACAAACGTCAGTAGCGGGGAAAGGGCGGAATAACGGAAAATCAAGGTCAACTACGACCACGAGGAGATGCCAAGTGATGTCCAGCTACTCGGTAAAGGAGCTCTCGTTGTTGACACAGCTATAGCATTTTACATTGGCGGTATGACTCAAATCTTGTTGAAGATTTGATGCAACTTGATACATAAGAGTTGAGTTCCCGCCAACACAGAGACAGAGAAATGTTTGTCCATGCTTTCGAAATATATAATATCTTCTATGCTTAATTGTTTAAATTATCTTCTCAATGCCTCATTTTTCAAATGGAACTGGCTGATTTGGTTTTACAGAACTGTAGGTGCATAGGTTAGCTCCAAAAATTTGTTACCACCCAAACTCTTCGCTACCCCTTCGCTCTCGCCCTCAAGCCTCATTGCTGGACCCCAGAGCCAGCTGTTTTCCACAACGCATCCACACTCCGCCTCGTGGAGCGTTTCTCTGAGCTTCATCGTGGTCTGCGGCTTCACATAAGAAAACTTATCTTGAGGGTGAGACGCGCTTCCTATTGGTTTGAGCTCAGTGCTTGCGAACCTTGGTCAGGGGGTTCGGCATTTACAGTTCATTCCTAGTGGCTCGAGACGGTTCCACACGGTGATAATTCTCACCGTGCTGTAAAGCGATGCACCGATTTAGACCGTAATCCGCTTACAAGACACCCTCGACCTGTACCGAAACCACAACAAGCCTGGCTGCCCAACACTCACCACACTTCGCCACATCTTGCAACGCGAGGGCAGGCCAACCCAACCCACCCTTGTTGTCGAGCCGTGACTCACTCTCTCCTCCCTGTACCGAACCGCGTAGCCATTCTCTGCTCTCGAGTCTCGACATTCTGCCCCGCATGTCGATTTCGCCTCATCCCCCAAATTGATCCCACGTCTTCATAAAACATCAGCAAACCCCAGTGCTTCAATCATCAGTTCCCACACTCCTCTCTCTCCAGCCATTTGAAGAATTTCCGACTCATCGCTCACTGCAACACACTAAACTTCATCCTGCTATACATACTCGTTAACCCTTACTGCAAGGTAACATGGCTTCTATTCGCAACCCATCCTTCCTGCTGCTGGCTCTCCTCGCAGTAGCAGCATACGCGTCCTTCGCTACCGGCCAGACGGAGCCGTTCCTCGTCACCAAGGCGCGCCAGACAAGAGCCTTCGCCGCAAACTGCACCAGGGATTCCGCCAACGCGAACGCCACCGCGGCGCTGAGGGCGCAGGATGTTATCAAAGCCAACGCGACGCTCGCAAACGCCACGGCCGCGTACAACGACGCGTTACCCCTCGTTAACCGCCTTAAGGTCGTCCTCGCGAACAGGATCGCCGCGAAGAACGCCACGGCCGCCGCAATCCCCGCTCTCCAGAACGCCACGGACGAGGCGCAGGCGCAGCTGGATAAGCTCGTCGCGCAGGGCACTGACGAGACGTCGCTTATGCAAGCCGTGGAGGACGCGAAGCGACGCGCTAACATGACATCGCAACTGGTGGACGACCAGCAGGGCGAGGTTTCCGACGCAAACATCGAGGCGATTGATGCGGCGAAGAAGGCGGCCGACTCGAGCCTGACAGGCGCCGAGCTGGCCGCAGCGCAAGCCAAGCTGGCCGAAGCGATGGCGGTGAAGGCCCAAGCCGAGGCTATTCTCAAGGACATGGTCGACCAGGCGAATCGCGCGGCGGATTTCTTGGTTAAGAAGCAGAACGATCTGGACAACCCCGATGCGGTCCAGGCGGAGCTCATCAAGCAGCAGCAGGCCGTGGCGGACGCTAAGGCGGATCTCGACGCTGGAATTGCGGCGGATGCCGCGGCGGCGACGGCGGTGACGCAGGCGCAGTTCGACGTGAACTACGCGAACGCGTCCATCCCCGCGAAGTCGGCGAACGTGTCGAATGCGAAGATCCTGCTGAGCAAGGCGGTCACTGCGAAGACGAGCGCAGATAACAACTCGACTCTCATGGCGTCCCGTGCCACCAATGCCACTATCGCTGCGCAGCAGGCCGAAGCTGCAGCAAAGGCCGCAGGGTACACGTGGGTGTGGTAAGCGTTGCAGCTGGGGGAGTTCAGCGTTTGGACCTTTACGTGTGTTGCTAATGGTGCTGTCCTGCACATGCTGTGAATTCCGGCGTCCAATAAAGTGCATGGACATTATGTATGCATGTCGAGAAGCTTGTTTCATTATTACCTTATGTTTAATGATGGCTTACTGCTGAATGCTGGCTGCGTATCCATTATCCTGCATCTTTTGCCAAGCTTGAGATCTCACATATTCTGCGAATTTGCGCCTTCTGCGAACAACCACTTCGTATGTGTCCGCCCACCTAGGATCCTAGGTCCCGTCAGTCCAGTTCATTCACACCTTACACTCAGCCAACTGATTAGACTGTAGGATGGAGAAGAACGATTGCAGGGGCCTGAAATTTCCACGTCTACTACTGTACATCTATTTACGCCTTGTTGGAATAACCGAAAGGTTGTTATAAACATTCCCGAAGGTTCTCCACTCTATTATCACTCCATAATTTAGTGAACGTCTGTACTAGTACCGCAATAGCTCATATAGAGCACGCGGAAGTTAGAGGGTCACCCGAAGGTCAACAGTCGAAGACAGTCAACGGTCGTGACCCTTGACTGCCCAGTAACCACACAAGCCAGTTGCGAAGTGCAACACGGTAACTGTCTAGAATAGCAATAGTCGTGGGTTATTGTAGCAATGCAATTCAGTTAATCAGGGAATGTACCCCTCAGAGTACATAGCTAGCTAGGAATGCTATTTATATCCTTGTACTTCTATCTTATAATCATCTTGTTCTCTTTCAATTAATTAACAAGGTACACTCTACAACGGTAGTGAGCTGGACTACAGGGTTGGCACGAACTACTAGAGGTGATCGTAGCTTTGCTTGGTTCCTTAGTGCTTGCACATTCACGGGAGAATTTGGCAAGAGTTTTCACTAGCAAAGTTGAGAATTCTAGAATAATCCAAGAAGCAATGACAACAATGACTACATCAGACACCTAGCAACCCTGCAGCTAGCCTGGTCGACCGCCAGCGCAGCTCTGTCGACCGCCTGCCAGCATTGCGTAGAGGAGCCGCGCCAACACTGCAGAAGGGCGACCTGCCAACAAAGCAGGTCGATGGCGTGCCCCGTAGAACACAGCAGTGCGCGCGCTCGCAGGTGTGCGCAGACGATTGGCCCGACTTGCCTCGTTGGGCATCCGTCGGCTGTTGTTGTGAAACTATGAGCAGAGGAATGAATTGACTAAGTCAGAGTTGGGTACAAATACAACCCTAGCAAACTGTACCCCATATGTGCTACCCCACTATAGCCTACAAACATGCATCAGCTATAATAATCTGACACACCCCCATAGGCAAAGTGGGGGAGAACAAGGGGTCACAAGACCAGTCAAGCAAAGCAAAACAAGCTCAGGGTGGATCACAAAGTCACCACACAGTCCGAGCACAAGAGCAAGGCCAGAGGCCAGTTCACATGCAGGAGTAAAGACATATATATAAAACTAGACAAGCAAGAGCAGGTATATATATGTCAAAGTACAAGTAAAGTCAAGAAGAGAGCAAGTGAGGCAAGACAGGTACAAGACCCAGCTGGGTACAAAAGCGCTGATGGTCGCAAGGCGCAAGTGCCTTGGTGAACACATCAGCAGTGTTGGCCTCAGAGGCCACGTAAGCAAGTCGCAACTGACCACGCTGCTGCAGCTCACGAGCAAGGAAGTAGCGGAGAGCAATGTGCTTCGTTCTGTGCTCCAAGCGCTGCTCTCGACACAAGGCCAACATGGCCTTGTTGTCTACGTACAGCACTGGAGGAGAACGAGGCAGCTCTCCAAGGTCAGTCAGCAGGTAGGTGAGCCAGCGAAGCTCCTGTGCAGCCATGGCCCCGGCGTAGATCTCAGCCTCACAACTGGAGCCGAGAACCGAAGACGAGCGAGTAGACCGCCACGAGACAGAGCCGGAACCAAGGCTGAAGGTGTAACCCTGTGACGACCGCTGCGTAGCCTGGTCGTCAGCCCAAGAAGCGTCTGCGTGCCCAGTAAGGACCACTGGACTCCGCCCTCCAAGCACTAGCCCCATGCCCGACGTACTGCACAGGTAGCGCAATACCCTCTTCGCTGCAGCCATGTGCTCTGGTCGGTGTCTCCCAGGAGCAACATAGCGTGCAAGGATGCTCAGAGGGTATGCAAGGTCAGGTCGAGTGCAGGTCATCAGGTACATGAGGCAGCCAACAAGCTCTGCATACGGACCACTCGACTCTACGGACTCATCCGAAGGCAGAGCTGAGAGTGAGTGGCGAGTAGGCAGAGGAGTGGCCTGAGGCGAGGAGTACGTGAAGCCGAAGCGCTGAAGGACCTGCTGCACCATGTGTGACTGAGTCAGGGTAATGGTGCGGCGTGCTCTGTCCCGAGTGATCTGCAAGCCAAGGTAGCTGCGCAGTTCACCCAGGTCTGTGCACGTGTGTCTCTTCAGCAGCTCGGACTTCACGTAGGCGAGTCCAGCAGTGTCCGCTGTGGCAAAGACCAAGTCGTCGACGTACACGAGGATGTAGAACGGCGGCAGGGAAGTGTCGGTGCGAAGAAACAGCGACGGGTCAGCAGTAGAAGGAGCAAACCCAAGAGCCGCAAGCGTAGTCCTCAGTGTGTCGTGCCACTCACGCGGTGCCTGGCGGAGACCGTAGACTGGCCGTCGGAGGCTCCACTGGGTACCAGGAGGGAAAGTCCCAGTGAAGCCAGGCGGACGGCGCAGCCAGATCTCCTCGTGCAGGCTACCCTGCAGGAACGCAGTGCTGAAGTCGAGAGAGTGAAGCTCGTAGTCGCGCTGAGCGGCAATGTGCAGCAGCACCCGAAGAGTGGTCATCTTCGGGGTGGGAGAGAAGGTCTGAAAGTAGTCAACTCCCTGCCGCTGACTGAAGCCACGAGCCACGTAA